GTTAGAATACTTCTTCTTCTCTGTGTCTCATCGCCGGCTGATAGGGTTGAGTTGAGGTCAAAGGTCGAGTCAATGTTTGACAGATTCAAACCTGTGACTTCACACGATGACGCACTTTACTTTAACAAACTCAGAACTCTACTTTTAGTATTTGATGCAGATTTTAACACATTTTGTGTTTTTGTTAAAATGCTTTTATTTTAAACACAAATAAGCTTAAAGTTTAACTTGAACTGTATATTGTGTTGTAATAGTTCATATTAGTTGTAGTGGTAACATTAATATATTTATACATCGCTATTTTCATATTTATTTGTTCAAACGTGTCTCAATTATTTATATATATATTTATGTATATATGTATCATTATTATTAATTAATTCATACTTCTATATTAGTGTGTATTGTAATATATACGTTTATAATTATTTTTTGGTATGTTTATTTATACTTTAGGTTTTCAAAGAACTTGATTTACCTTTTAATTCATATTTTAAAAATGGACTTGTTTTTTATCTATGAGATATTTATTAAGTCTCACGTATATCTGTGTATTTTATTCATATTTTTACTCTGTTATAGATCATATTTTATATGTAATGTGGCATCACATCTTTAATGTAAAGCGTTGATGAACAGAACATTAATGATGAATTATTACACCGCTTCAGGTCAAAGGCCATCCCTTCTTCTTACCTTCCTGTACTTCTTGAACTTCTTCTTCCTCTTCCTCTTCTTCTCCTCCTTCCTCCTCGTCCTCTCCTCCGGCGTCTCCTCCTCCTCCACCTCCTCGATCAGAGGTTCGTATCGATCTGGCAGGACGGAGAAAAAAACTTCTTTGGAGTTTTTCTGTTGCTTCTTCTTCTTCTCTGCCGGAGGAACCGCCTCCTCCTCTTCCTCCTTCTTCTCCTCCTGCGATCCCATCTCGTTGTTTCTCGTTGTTTCTCGTTGTTTCTCCTTTCTCCCCTGACCTCCTTGTGTTCATTGCAGGAGGACCTTTGGAGCGAGGAGGAGTCAAACTTTATTAATAGCCCGGAGCTCCCTTCAGACAGGAAACGGCGTAAAACGCACTAAAAGCAGGATTAGAAGAAGAATGTGGACTTTACTTTGTCTCCTGGTTTGAAGTGAACAAACGTCTTTAAAGTCTTACTCGCCTCATCAGCAGACGTTTGTGGGTTTTTGTCCTCTGGTTAGATTGTCTGTTTGTTTCACAGAATACACACTGAAACACTGCGTCAACATCCAAAACTAGAAAAACATGAATTTCCTTCAACAAGAGTCTAAGTTGAAACCAATTTAGAAATTAAAATCCTTTGAACTTGTAAACACGTGGTTAAGTTATTTTAACTTGAAATGTGTTTGTTTGACTGATAATGTAAAACAAGTCTTTGTTTCAACTCGCTGTGTCAAGTTCAAACAACAAGTGAAACAATGTTCAATCAACTCTGACAACTTATAAAATAATGTTGAGACAACTAGAACTTGCAGTTAAATGAACTTTAATTTCTGAGTTGAATCAAAGGCAGTCTGAGGAGAGAGAGACGGGTGAGGAGAGAGAGACGGGTGAGGAGAGAGAGACGGGTGAGGAGAGAGAGACGGGTGAGGCGAGAGAGACAGGTGAGGAGAGAGAGACGGGTGAGGAGAGAGACGGGTGAGGAGAGAGAGACGGGTGAGGCGAGAGAGACGGGTGAGGAGAGAGAGACGGGTGAGGAGAGAGAGACAGGTGAGGACACAGTGAGACAGGTGAGGACAGAATGAGACAGTTGAGGATGCAGTGAGACAGGTGAGGACAGAATGAGACAGTTGAGGACACAGTGAGACAGGTGAGGACAGAATGAGACAGGTGAGGATGCAGTGAGACAGGTGAGGACAGAATGAGACAGGTGAGGATGCAGTGAGGACAGAGTGAGACAGGTGAGGACAGAATGAGACAGGTGAGGATGCAGTGAGGACAGAATGAGACAGTTGAGGATGCAGTGAGACAGGTGAGGACATGCACCATAGCCTAACGTACGAGGACACCCTGTACACATACTTCATGTAGAGTAGAAGTTGTTTGAAACAATGAAAACTGTAAACAATGATTTCCTGAAGTGGTGACATAATGATATTAATGTAATGATCTGCAGACGGACAGAAAGCTGGAAGCGTCTCATGTTTACTTCTCTTCGGCTGTAATAAGTCAAGTTGTGTTCGGCTTTAAAGACCCAGAGGGAGGAGAAGAAAGAAAAACAATATGTAACATACCTGAGAGCTGCTCAGTCTGAACTCAGTCTGAGAGAAAACAAAGATGTTCCCTTTCTAAATCCTACTTCATGTGTTTAAGAACATATAATATAGTAATAATAATAACATGCAGAGGAAAGAACCACACTACGATCAATGAGTGTTGGAGCTTTAATAATGAAATGTACAGGATATACAGTATATATATCAATAGATATAATATATCTATATATATGTGTGTATGTGGTTCATGATGCAGCATGAGATCTCGATGACTTTTGAACCTGGAAAGAAACACAGATGAAGAGAAGGAGTGAGAAACAAACGTCATAATGAACTTGATCAGGTTGTTTATTGAGTCTCAGAAACAAAAATATTAAAAATAACAGTAAATGAGAAGATCAATAATCATCACGATACTCTATGGATAAAAGTATGTATCGTCTTGATTTGGGACTTGTAGTCTTGATTTGGGACTTGTTGTCTTGATTTGGGACTTGTAGCCTTGACTTGGGACTTGTAGTCTTGATTTGGGACTTGTAGTCTTGACTTGGGACTTGTCGTCTTGATTTGGGACTTGTAGTCTTGATTTGGGACTTGTAGTCTTGACTTGGGACTTGTAGTCTTGA